CCCGATGGTTGGGTCAGGCTTAGTCTTGGGCCTGAATGTATTCTATTAATACAAAGACAAAGTTTGGCCTGTGAACAAATATACTTAATAGTATTGAATTTAAGAGGTTACCCACATTAAGGGACAAAGTGCAAACAAAGTATGAGAGAAGGGTGTAATCACTAAAAGGGGTTTTAATGAAGAGACTTAATTGTAATTATGGAAAACTTATGAGATAAGCTCTCCTAATTGTAATATGAGCATAATTTATGAGATAAGCTCTATAAAAGGAGTGCATGGGGCAGCCCTAGGGTTTAAGGCAACATTCTTGCTGCTAAACTAAACCCTAATCTAAGAAAAAGATTGCTAGCACAATCTTGGAACCCCCCTTATCCCTCTTCCTTATTCTCTTGAATTAAATTCAAGAAAGTGAATTTGGAGCTTTGAGCTATTGTTGCTTTATGTAGTTATCTTGGAGGCCAAACAATTACGAAACTACAAAAAAAAAATGATGGAGCTGAGGTTTTGTACACTACCATGGACATGATTTGAGAGAGCATTATTAAGGCTATAAGGTTAATCTCCAATTACTAAAGGAGCATTCTATAGTGTGAATTGTTTTTCTTATTGTCAGTTTAAAAAAACATATCAAAACCATTTGGTTTGTCAATAAATTGATTTTCAAAGAAAACACACGTTCTTGGTTGTGCATGTGTTTTTTGTTTTCAATATTGAAACCAAATACATATTCTTAAATTTATAGTTTCAAAAGCATGTTTTCATCTGGTTATTTAATATCATGTTCTATAAATCATATAATATCTATACTACAAAGCTTGTTTTTATTTTAAAACCATTATTTTGATGGTTCTAAAAATAGGTATTGTTTTTTGGAATAAATCAACTTATATTTATCTTTGAAAACAAAATAAAGTTTAAGAACATGTTTTAGTTTTTCTTTTTTTCTTATGGATGCAATGATTTCAAAAACATTCATGTTGTATAACAGCCCCTAAATATATATCCAAAAGTAATAATCTCAATAATTACCAATTTAACAAAAAAAAATCCAACTTTAATAGAGCAAGATAAGTTTTAAATCATTAATTGAAACAACTATGTTGGTTGCATTTCATTAGCTTTAAACCACCTTTTTTTTTTAATTCAATCAAGAAGAGTTCTACAATTAAATTTTTAGTTGAATTAGATTGCAAAAAGTAGGCGCATGAGACTACTAGTTAAGATATTGGCCTTGAAGCATGGACAAGCACATGCCTACCCATACCTTATATTGAAGTTTAATTAATTATAATGGGGGTAGAGCGGATCAAACACTAGACTGCTTGGTCAAATAGATTTTGATACCATGTCAAGGAATTGTTCAACCTAAAAGCTTAAGCTGTTAAGTGATGTTTGTTAATAGGTTTTAAAAGTTATGGTATGCTTAAGAGAATTGAAGAAAAGTTAAGGGAAGTTTTAAATAACAACTTGATAATTAATAGAAGGGGCGTGTTTACATATTTATTTAAACACATGGAGGGAGGAAATCTTTGTATAGCTCAAAGTGTAGAGGAGGCTGAAGTTTTTGTCAAAGAACATAGGAAAGGTTTTAAGTAATTTTCCCTTAACACGATGTTATTAGAATTGGACTAGACAAAAAATAAATAAAAATTGAAAAGCTCATTTCATAACAATTTTATAAGTTTAACCATAATTAGATTATTCAACTCATAAAACTCAAAATATAAAGAGCTCACTAGTCATTGGTTTAATTGTTGGATCCCATATAAGTATGACAACAATGCCCTGAAAAATATATTGGAGTTTGTATATTGATGCATCAAAGGCACCTATGAAATCATACATATCCGATCATCCTCCAAAAAATCTAACATCCAATACTGACCATAAAAACTATGGTAGGAGAGACAAATAATATTTGTTAAACAAATAAAGGGGAGAGAATATCCTATATTAAATGGCCAAAAAGCCAAGAACAATATGGCATATTGAAAAAGGTAACTAACACAAAGTGCAATAAAGCTATCACATTTTAGCTAATCTATTAACATTAAATATCTTACATTCTAAGATTTTAGTGAAGGGACTCTATTAATCATACTAACAATAGAAAATGCAAGGTAGAATTGAGATTTGAGACAACATTAAGGTTGCAAGGTTAATCTCCAATAACTAAATACCCAAAGTAACAATCTATATATTTATTAGTTTAACAATTAAGACTTTTCCAACTTAGGCAAATGACAAAATAAATTTTAAAACCTCTTATTGAAAACAATGAGTTACTTGCCTTCCACTAACTTCAAGCCATTCATTATTTCAATTTCAATCAAGAAGACTTATACAACTAAGCTTTTAGTTTGGTATTGGATTCTAGAAAGCAAGCTTGTAGCTATGAAATTATTGGTTAGCAATACTATTAACAACAACCATAAATCATTGCATTCTGTAGTTAGGACCCCTGTTCATAGAAGACATCATTTATTAGATTTTCATATTTTCTAGCACATTAGGACCCTTGTTTCATTTCTGACATATCATTGCATTCTACTTAGTTATGCACTCACTTGAATAGTGGTTGAATATTACAAATAGTATCAGATGTCAACATGATGGAAAATCAACCTAGGTAACTTTTAGGACATGACATTTAATGAATCTCATTTGAAAACATTTAGGTTCAGTTTGGGAAGAGTACAAATGCAAATATTTACACTACAAAACCTTATGTACTTTATTTTTAAACTGTTAAAAAGATTGTCTTATGTTCAATTTAGTGTCATAGAAGTAATATTGTAATTTTATTTCTTTTTAAGATCACCCTAATATAAATACAAAGGCACCGCCAACACATCTTTTTGCTCTCTAACTTCTTCTCCTCTCTTTCTCTCTTCTCTTCTTCTCCTCTCTTTAACCCTTCTCTTGGCTCTTTTCTGTTTAATATGGTATTAGAGTAGGTCTATTAGATCTTTGTTGAGAAATTATGCAGATTTATTGGTTAAATTTTTTATTATTTGTTTAGTTAGGGTGGTGACTACAACACACACTTGTCGGGACCGTTTAAAGTGATGTTTTTTAAGTCTTTTATTGAGTTTTTTTTTTATGTCAGCCACCCTATAAAGGCATATTAGTCATTGTACATAATTTTTTTTTTTTTTACTTAAAGTATAAATAACAATAAGAGGGGGCAGCTAGAACTGATTGTTCTCTCATTCTTTTCTCCATTCTCTCTTCTTCTTCTCTCTTCTCACAAAACCCTCTTCTTTTCTTCTTCATTTTTTATAATTTTTGTTTCTGTAGATTTCTACTTAGTACCAAAGTAGGATTTGAGTTTTCCTATGCCTCCCATCATGCAACCCTAGATTAGCCAACACTGTGATGAGTTAAAGGGTTGATCGAAGACCTCAAAAGTGCCCAATTTTTTTTATTTTTCTGGTGGATATAAAACCCCCTTGTAGTAGATCTTGGGTTGATCACCAAAATAAGGAAGAATTGGAGAATGCCGAAGAATCTTAATTGTATTAGGACTCTTTAATTTTGACCTAGGAACGAGTGCTCTAGATTTTTTGGAGTTCTTGGTGATTTCTAAAGGGGGCAGTTCAAGTTTTAAGAATTTTTAAGGTTTTTAAAGGGAGCGACAATCTTTTCTCTTATTTCTATCGACTCCTATATAATTATATATGTACATATAATATGTTTTTTTTTCTTAATTTAGGTTTAAATTTGTTATACTAAAATGAAGATTTGAAGCTTGGAAAAAAATAATAGGTAAAAGTGCCCTCGGAACCTTGCAATGCATAGATCATGAAAAAGTACTTACAAATAAAAAAAAAACCACCCTATTTGACTATTGAGCTTAAAGTTATGGCCCCTAAAAGTTTTTTTATATAAATTGTAATTTGCAGCTAATGATCCATTAATCGGGCCAATGGTTCAACCACTTGGGTCAATGGTTTTTTACCAACTTAGTAATTTTTTCATCTTTCTTTCTCGATTTGTAGTAAAGCCAGATCATAATTGACATCGGGTGACAATTTGAGCGGTTCAATCAACTAAATCAACAATGATTTGAAAACATTATTTATATATGGAACATGTTGAATTTATCACATCTTTGTTTAATCAGGTTAAATTTGGGTTGGAGATTCTTTGGATTTTGGTTTGCCTTGAACAAAAAATGCATCATAATTATATCCTTTGGGTTTACAAAAAAACCCGATACCTTGACATCCCTAGATTCACTCACAATATGATATGACATAGGGATGAAAATTTTCCCCATCCCTGACGGGGACCCGACTTCCCTGACCCAATGGGATCGGGGATGGGGATTGCTTTGGCAAGGTGGGGATGGGGACGAGGATTAATAGGAATCCCTGATCAAGATTAGGGTTGGGAGTGGGGATTGAGGTCCCCGCCCCGTTCCTCCCTAACCTCGATTATATATATATTAAATATATATTATTATATATGATATTATTTGTATTATTTATATATATTAAAACATATTTAAAATATTTTTATATTTTAAAATTTTGATTTATTTAAAATAAATTTATTTTTTTAAAAAATACCGTTATTTAAAAAATTTAAGGATTCGGGTCTCATAGAAAACTCATCTCTATTAAGGATCGAGGATTGAGAAACAACTTATATCCCAAGGGAAATCAGAAACAAGGATGGAGATTAATTTTAGAATCAATCGGGAACGGGGAATCCCCGCCCCGAACCCACCCCGTTGCCATTTCTAATATGACAACAAGAAACAGGTCCGTGGCCCTTACGACTCGTGTAGCTAGGCTCAGGCAAGGCCTTTTGGGAATTGGGACAGCCGGACAAGGTTTATCATTAAAACCTGAAAGCAAGGCGATAGTCTAGTGACGTGGCAAGTCACTTAAAAAGTTGTACAGTTCGTCAAATCGGACGGCGAAGATCTCGCGATCGGCGACTCGCGACGATCCTGAGCGACGACCAAGAGAAGAAAGCAAAAGATCTACTGCTACTTCAGCCGTCAAACCCAACTCTGATTCGTGTAAGAACGAAAAGACCGGAGACATTTTGCTCTCGCAGACTCGTCCACTCACATTTTCTGGGGTTGCGTCTACGAATTCTCTCCTTCACTGAAAATTTTTCGATTACAAGCTCATTCTTTTCAGGTTCTGCAATCTCTCCCTCTCCCCCCCTCTCTCTCTCTTCCTTTACTATTTTAAAGGGGGGTATTTTTGCACTTGGATTCTAGTGAAATTTGTGAAATCCGGAGCTGAATCTATGATTAATTTTAGATCGGCTGTGGAGGATTGGTGTGCGGCTTTGTGGGGAGTTTGATTTTTGGTGGATTGCGCAGTAAAGGAGTGGTTTACTGGTTTTGGTTTCAGATCTGTGGATTTAAGGGTTTCATTTAGAAGTTTTGTTGGGAAGTCGAGTTAAATGCAGAGGCAAACTAGGTATTTGGAGAGATCGAACACTATGAACAGGGAAAAACGCGGGCTGGACCCTAGTGAGGGTGAAGAAGGGCAACCGGAGAAGAAGCGGCCGGCTCTTGCTAGGTAATTCATTCTACTTTTTGTGTGCTCGACTGTTCATGGCTCTTGTTACTGGTTTGCCTGGATCGTTTTAGCTCATTTGGAATTGTAATTGGTTAAGTTTCTTTCTTGTCTGGGGAAAAGTACTAGTTTTGCAGAGAAAATGCAAAATTAAGAACTTCCTGTTGCAACTAACGTAGCTCGAAGAACTAATAATTGTTTTTAGTTGAACCATATGAGTTGTTGCGGAGATATTTTCCATTTCTGAGTGGAATTATTATTACAATCTAAAAGTGAGCGAAAAATCTAATTTAATCAAATAATTATGCTCCCTTTAGTTTAATAATTAATCATTAAATGGTCGTTTGAATTAAGGGGTTCTGGGGATAACAAAAAATCTAAACAATGAATTAGGGGTTCCTAAGAAACTCATAATGTTCTGGTACTCTGATTACATATTGGTGTTCCTTTAATGGCATCCTCCATTTATGCACAGCCTGTTTCTTGTCATGTGTAAGATATGCCCAGGTTTATGTCGTCAGAAGTTGACGAACTTAGCTGGAATGTTGTATAGTTCGGCTAACTCTTGGGTCTGGGGAAACTGGACCTGTTTACAGTTTGGGTCCCCCGAATTTACCAACTGCCCCATGTATAGAGCATGGTGTTCCACCTTTGGATGAGACCTACCAAGGAAATGAGCCGGGCCAAAACTTAGGACGCAGAGATTTTATCTATCAAAAAAAAAAAAGACGCAAAGATGATTAACCCTCTGATTTTACTGCATTTAATTGAACTTTTTCTTGATTGGTATACTTGGAGGAAAGTTTCTCCTGAAGTTAAAAGCATCTTTACAAAAAGCACCCAAATTATATGCTTATATTCCATTTGGTTAAACTGACCTTTTTGCTTGTCCATGTTTTAGTGGAGCCTCTTCAGTGGTGGGTCCTAAATTCCTAATTTTAAAACAAGGGACAGGTGGCTAGTGAGGGGGTTGCCAGTTATATGATCTTTTCATCTAACAGGAAGGACATTTTGGTTCAGTCTTGGGCCTCTTGGCATTCTCCAGCACATGGATCCATCAAGATGAACTTTGATGGATGCTCTATGAGCAACCCTGGGCCTTGAGGTATTGGAGGTGTATTCAGGATTCGGGAACCCGCAAGGGACAGATTATGGTGGTCTTTTCATGGTTGGTTACGCAGACTCCATTAAGGATTAGTTTCTAGCACTGTCTATAAAAAATAACTTCATGAACAACATAAATTGAAAATAACTTTTTGAGACTTGAACCTATGAATCCTTAGTAAAAAGACAATATTGAAACCAACTTTACTGAAATACAATATAAATTCAAAGAATGTATAAGCATAATATATATTTAATTAAATCAAACTGGATCATATTGAGTCTGATATTTGATAGATTCATAATCTATCCAATTATAAGTGGACCGAATTCAAATCACCCTTAACTTGATTAAATTCAACTTTGAATTTGGACAAACAAATGGGTACTGTTTGCAGCACTACCACTTATGGGGGCCTCGGATCCTTCCTTGCTTCTTGTGTTCTGAGTTGTTGTTTAGTTACACTATAAAATTGTAGCATATGGATACACTGAGCAAAATGACTCTTTAATACATAGAAATATCTGATTGAGAGTAAAAAGGAAAAATGGAATCAACCAAGTTTAACATAGATTCCTCATTAGAGTCCTTTATCTGCTTCTCAATCAAGTTGGCTAGTTTCTTGTGGTGTTGTTTCATGCTGTTCTTTTTTTTTTGGGACATTTTATTTAGACTAACTTAAAATCTAAGAAGAAATTGTGCTCTCTTTTCCTTTTCCTTTGTGCATTCCTGTCTAGCTGGAAATTTTACTGCATCTTGCATGAATGAAAATTATACATTTTGAGGTCGAAACCCTTTCTATTTTGACATATTATTGGCATGCAGTGTCATTGTTGAAGCTCTCAAGGTTGATAGCTTGCAGAAACTTTGTTCATCTTTGGAGCCTATTCTCCGTAGAGTTGTAAGAAAAATGAACTTATACTAGCACTTTTATTTTCTTTATATTAGATATTTGGGATGATTTTATTTTAATACCTGATCTGTTCTACTGATATCATCATCATCTAAACCTTGTGCCAACTATATGGGGTCTGCTACACTCGGAAAAAATTATTTTCTTTGGTCCTTGTGGTTAAAGGGCCATTACCCAATGTTGGTCCCAGCTGTCTAGGGTGTTGGGAGGAATGGATTGGATGTAGACCTATGACATTTTTTTTTTGCACAAAGTGGCTGCTCTCAAACTTGAACCAGCAGTCTAGTGCTTCTTCGTTTGAGATTTTACCATTGTATCAAGCTGTATTCTATTGTATATTTACATATGTCACATGCTCAACTGAAGATTCTCTAGTATTTTTTTATGATTTGCAATTACAATTGTTGATGCATGTTATTTCACTTGAATGTTGAACTTGGTTTTTCTTTTTATTTTTTCTTGTTTTTTAATCCTAACAAAGTTGGTGTGAATAATATTGATTGAAATCCTATGGGTCATCCTGAAAATTTCAATTTATCATGGCTGTCGATTACCTATTATATTAGTAGTTAATACGTGCTATGCATGAATATTTAATCTCACCAATGAGAACTGCTAGAATAATGAAAGGCTTTTTAGATGCATGGGGCTATGTTATTGATCACATTTTGATGTGGAAACAGAGCATTGCAATTCTCTGTGATACATCTGTTGACTGTACCACAGTATAAGCTCCAATTAAAATGCACAAGGCTAGTTTTGTCCCCGGTAAGGAGATGTGTGAAGTGATTATTTGTATTATTGCCTAATAAGGGCATACTTGTCATTTTATATTCCTTAATATAAAAGGGGGCTTCCTAGTTGACAGAGCCATTCTAGTTTACAGTCCATCCTTTCTACTCAAGATTTCTCTCTATTCTCTTCTTTTCTCTCTCCTTTTTTTCTCTCTCTGTTTTATCTCCATATTAGATTATTGATTCAAAAGTTGGCATTGGAGAAACACCTGCCAAATCTCAAGAAGACTTGGGGAGATTACAGACCTAGCAGAGATATGATGGCATAAACACAGTGTTGAATGATGTCAGCATGCCATGTGGACAGCATAAACCCTTGGGATGAAGACTCTAGATTCCAGTAAGGCTTGATTGATGGGTTTTGATACAATATCTAAGGCATGGGCTTGATTTCCTCTTTTACAGAGAAATCAGAAAAAAATACAGTTCTCATGTTTTTGATTTATATGCATGATTGGAGAAGGTTTTATGTATCTAGCTTGAAGCTTTTGATCCATAATGCCTGTTTGGAGATGTAGAAGCTTATTTAACTTGATTATATGGTATTTGAAATTCTGAAGAAATTTCTGTAGTCCTATATTGCCTCCAGCCTAGTTTTTTTCTTTCTTTGGAATGTACTTGTTTGTGAAACAAATGTGCTTTGTTTCTAGTGAAGGCAGCCAATAATTGTGACCTTGAATGAAATTTGTTTGGTGATGTCTTTTTTTGTTATTATTGATTCTAGTGTGTTGGTCCCTTTTGTCTTTGTGGGAGCTTGTTCAGAAAACGTGCTTGTTGATAGTCTTAATTATCCTTTAATTTTATTATTATTCTTTGTTTTATTCATTGGTTATGGTGGAAGGAGTATTTTTTTGATTTTCAGTCTAGAGTGTTTATGTAATGAGATATTTATATAAATGAAAGGGTGCCCACCTAGATCAGTTCATTTTTTCTCCCCTACACTTTTCTCTTCTCTTCTCTTCTTTCTGCCATCTCTTTCTTGGTTAAATTGCTACAGCTTTATTCTGTTTTTGGCTTTTGGAGATTCTTGAAGATATTTTAAGGAAGATTAAATTGTTCTTGAACTAGAAAAACAAGATGGTATCAGAGCAAGGATAGTCAGATGATGATGAAGATGTTGATAATGATTAGATCTTAAATTGCTAATGTTCAAACTTTAATTGTTAGGTTTTGCTAATGTTGCTCAGTCATTCATCCTAATAAAAGATATTTTTAAAAGACAATTAAAATTATAAAATCTCTTTTTTTTTTGTAGGGATTAAGAATTTAAGATCCTAACATGGACTTGTTTGGGCTTGCCTCAAGGGGCTTGGTACAAAGGTGGCTCGCAGAATCAGGAACGCATAATGTTTAACATAACATTACCTTAGCTATTTTAAGTAATGCAATTAGGGAAAGAATAAAGAGATTGAGAGTTTTACATGCTTGAATATGTTTTATATATTTGATTTGATTTTTAAATTTTCATTTTAAATATATTTTACATGTTATGTTTATATGTTTTAATTTGAGCTAATATGTTTTCTTAAAACTTTTATTTTAAAATTTAAGTTTATATGTTTAATAACTTTAATCAATATTATGCTTAATATTTTTTTTTTATTTTTTTGATTTTTTAACATTTTTTTTTCATATTGTGCCTTGCCTTGTGCCTTGCACTTCAGACACAATGCCCCTTGCGCTTTTAAAACACTGGTTTCATAGAAGGAGAGGAGTTTACAAGAAAATCTTTTAAAGAATCGGAATAGAGATTTAAGATGCCAATATTAAATAATAATGCCAATGAAGCCTCAGAAGAAAAATTTTCAAGAAATGAAGATAATAATCATGGTTATATGAATTTTTCGGGACAGGTATTGTCAATGAAGAAGGTGGTGTGTTGGTTAGTGACCATATTTTTGAAAGGAATTCAGTGATGGAGCTGGAGAGGATTAATGATATGCCAAAGGAGTTGAAGAAAGAAAGGAGGAACTCTCTTGCGGTGAGAAGATTGGAGAAAACATCAAAATGTGTTGGTTTCAAAAGTATTTGCTGGATTAAAAGGGGGCTTATTTGGGATCAGTTTGAATAAAAAGGCGATGAAATCAAAGAAAGCTCTTAAGAAGTAGAGAGGTCTTTGGTTTTTTTTTTTTTTTTAACTGTTATCCTCTTTGGAATTTCTTGTGGTTGGTTTTGGTTGTTTGGGTTTGATGGCCTGGTTTGGTCATCTTTATTGTTTGTTTTGTTGGTTAAAGAGTCTGTGGCTTGTTTAGTCTATTTTCTTCATATTGTTTTGATCTTGGTTGAATTGGAGTTTGTTTGGGGAGTTTATGAGAGTTTCTTATCTTCTCTCTCAGGCGACTTCTGGTCACCTTGCTTGTGATCTTTTTTAATAATAAATTTTATTTTATTACCCAAAAAATGTATGGATTTGATGGTTGCATTGTTGGATGACCAAATACAAATTGGTATGACTTATGAATCTCATTGATAAATCTTTTTATTTCTTCTTTCCATCTACCACTGCTGGAGTTAATTTTAACCTAAAATTAAGCTCAGAGGTGATTTTTACTGTTGTAATCTTGTAATTGTATATCGAATACTATTTGGTGATAGGGATTTGGGCATCTAGGTAGACAATCCTGTATTTAAAAGGAGCTTAATCATGAAACGTTTCTTGATATGAATTTTTATATATCAAGTTCTTCTGGTGCATCATGCTGGATTTTTTTGGGAAACTCGAAAATTTAAAGCAAGCAGCTTTATTATCAATGCATGAATGTACTGTTACTTTTGTTAATCGTAAAAATGATATTTATCCTGTTGTTCTGATGTAAACGTTGTTGCCTTTGTGGTGGTGCAATCAGTTGAGACTTGTCTTGTGCACAACTTTTTCTCTGATATCCAAGTTATGCAACAGTGAAATGGTGAGAAAGGGGATGTGTCTCTTACCAAGACTAATTCCTGTGCATCATATAGCAAATTCATGGGTGTTTTCTTGCCTAGGTGCCTGTGCCTTGGCAACTCCCATAAAATTACCAAAAAATTAAGTATATAGTCACACCAGGAGACAACCTTTTGAAACAGCCTCTGCCTGGGTTCAAGTGAGGCAGACATATCAAAAGCACCTTGCCTGTGCTGCACCTTTTAGAACACTGGATTTGCTCAGCTGCTCCCCTCACCACTTCAATTTTTGCCATCCTGGGATTTTTGAGCTCAAGTGTGGTATTGTTGACTAGGAGCAATATATGGACATGTTAATTATCATATTCATTCTGGAATATCCAGTTGGCCTTAGATCATAAACAAGTCTTTATTATTACTTTTTTATTTTATTTTATTTTTTCTTGATAGGTAGAAGTATTTCTTTTTTATTGATTCTTTTTTTTGATGCCCCAATTTTGTACATCATTTTTTTTTTGTTTCTTATTGGGTTTTATCAAATTTAATGCTAAATAGGTCAGTGAAGAAGTGGAGCGTGCTTTGGCAAAGTTGGGCCCAGCAAGACTTAATGGAAGGTATGCGGCTCCCCTGATAGATAATCTCTCGAGAAATACATAATTTTAGTGGAGGTTGCTTTGCCTTTGGAAACAGCCCTCTGTATGTTCAGGAGTTGCATACATCTATCCCTTCCCAAACCCCACATTGGCGGGAGCCTCGTGCACTGGGCTGCCTTTTATATTCTAACACTTTTCAAAATACCTCTTCCGCCTACACACATAAATACACATACACACACATGCACACAAAAAGGATAGGCATAAGATAAAGGATGATGGGACAGGGACCATTAATTGATTGTTTGTTAAATTTCCATTATAATATCTTGTAACAGAAGTGTAATGGTGTTTCATATTAAAAACAGCATTATTACAGTTAAAATCTCAACAATGTTACGGCCATACTTTTGTAAACTCCTATTTATGAAGTTTGAATATTATGACTGCAAGTCTGCAACCAATGTACTGAACAAAAAGTGAAATTTTCTATAGAGGAGTGCTATTAAAGGTCTTATTACTAAATTAGATGCTTTAAGCTGTTTAGCAATGGCATTCTATAAGTGGTCCAAATGGAGGATCAGGATGTCTAGTTGCTGTCTGGGTCCATAATTTGTATTCATTGGAAGTTGCTCCATAACTTGCCATCTGTTGTATTTACACTTCACAGAGGATCAGGGCTCATCATTAGATAGGTCCATCTTGGAGAGTGTCTATATAAAAAATCATCATGATGACATGAATTTTATCCATCTGATTTATGCCTTGCTCTGACAACTATCCAGATGGTTATGTTAGAACTTTCCTTGTCATTCAAATATATGCAGTACAAACACAGTCTCACAATTATGTTCAAACCTCATTTTTTCTCAGTTAATAACCATGATAGGACCCATCGAATAATGGGTCCTATCTAATGAATCTCCAACAGATGGAAAGCTATGGGGCAGAAACCAGTCTACAGGTGTAGCCCCAGACCTGAACTATTTTACCAATTAATGATGATAAATTGGCTTAAGGAGAAAGCAAGGGAATAGCTTATTAGCACTCCATTTTCAGACTTCTTGGTCGGTTATGCAACTTCCTTCTAATTATTAGGCAGCCAATAACTATTTTATCTTCTGTGTTTAGTTGGAGAAAATTCCCTTTAGAGGATCATAGTAGTGAACTAGCAGGAAAATAATGTGGAGCATGATTAAGGGCGTGGTTTGACAACATAATTGGTTTTTGTTTTTGAAAACAAAAACAACTGCCACATCAGCAAAATTATATTGTTTTTTTTCTGATGTGGCACTTTTTTGGATTAATAACTTCAGATTTCATTAAACCAGAAAATAGTTTTTTTTTTATCAGTAACCAGAAAATAGAATACAAAGAGGGAGAGATAAAATCTCTTAACTCTCCCCAAATTTAATGAAGAAGTTACAATTGAGCCCAAAATAACTGATTTCTTCCCACCCCTTATTTTGCCAAGACACCGGCAAAACCATTAGCTGTTCTTTTGACCCAATTGAATCTCACATCCATGCCTCATGTTAACCATTTAACTTTCTTCCTTTCATTACTATAACTCCATAATCCGGCTTCTTCCTTTTGTAGCCAACCCACCACTAGTTTTGAATCTCCTTCGATAATCAACTTGTTGATGTTCATCTCCTTTTCTCTTTGCACTCCTTCCATCAAAGCCAACATCTCAGCCCTCAATGAATCCCCAACACCAAATGGCCTTGAGAATAAACCAATGATGTTGCTTTCTAGTCAGAAGACCTTTTCAAGATTGGGAAGTGGACCAAGTGGTGAATCTGTTAGAATTGCTTTCTAGTCAGATCTTGAACCCCTTGGAAGAAGACTCTTGGATCTGGAAGTGGAATGCAGATGGAATTTTCACTGTAAATTCTTTTGCCAGAAGACTAGCTGGTGGAGGAATTGAAAATTTTCCTTCTGCTAGAATCCGGACTCAGATTCCTCCTCTCAAAGTGAATGCACTGCTGTGGGTGGTAGTGTTGGATAAAAACCTAACTAAACAGAATTTGGCAAAAAGAGGAATTCTGATTCAAAACATGTTTTGTGAACTGTGTGGTCAAGCAGAGGAGGACAACAATCATCTCTTCATCCATTGCCCTTTCGTGACAGGAATTTGGAACCATTTTCTCTCTTCTGAAGGTATTTCCTGGGTCATGCCAAAACAGGTATCAGATCTGCTAAGGAGCCGGGATATGTTAGGTCTGTCAAAACTGGCTAGAAGTGTGTGGTGGGCTATCCCTGCAGCTGTAATCAGTTCCATATGGGCGGAGAGAAACAGAAGAATCTTTCAAAACAAAGAAAAGGAGGTGGACTGTCTGGTGTCTTGTGCAGTGGGAAAATTAGTGTCTTGGACTGCAGGCGTGAAAGGCATCCATCCTAGGGTCTTGGGGTCTCAGTTAAGGTCTATTAGTATATTTGAGTTGTAATGTAAGCTGAGAGGCTGTTCTCAGCATTTGCTCCTTCCTGGGAGCTTCTTTGTATGGTTCTGATTTCAGTCAATAAATTTACCTTACCTTTTACAAAAAAAAAAAAAAAACCAATGATGTTGCACACCTCATTCCTGAAGAAACCACCAATACCTGAGGGACCTAGGTTGCCTGCAGTTCTCCCATCAGAGTTCAGCTTAATGAAGCTGTGAGTTGGTGGGGACCAAGTACCGGCCAGGGTTAATAACGAGCTTATTTCTATATGAGCAAGCCACCTCCTTCCACTTTCTCATAATGTCACCTGCTGAAAAATCATCAAATAACTCCCGAGTATTTTGTCCATTGAACTGCCCTGACAGTGATGGTCTCAACAATGGCCTCTTCTTTCCTTTTCTGAAAATATCTTTGCCTTCTTTTCCTCCCAAATAGTCCAAACTGATGCAACTTTTACGCATCTCCATAACAATCTTCCCCTCTTCTTTGGCCAACTAAAAAAGTAGAAGCAAACAAACTTTGCACATTTAGTGGAGCGTTCCACTTACACCCAAATAAAGAAAAAAAACCAATCCCAAATGGAAGATACAAAGGGGCAGGAGATTAATAAGTGATTGCAAGACTCCCCACTGGATTTACAGAGAACACACCAGTGTGGGGATAAGCACCAACTGGATCTTTTTCTTTGGAGCAAATCGTATGTATTTATTCTTTCCAGGAACACTTCCCAACAAAAAGCTCCTATTCTGGGAGGGATAGGCCTATTCCAAGCCTTCTTCACAGGGAAAACCAGCCCTGCACTTGACCTTGAAAAAAGAAGCACCAGGAAAGGTATTGGTGGGTGCTTGAGTCCAAATACGACAATCAGGTTTGGACGAATCCAAGAAAACCCTCTCAAGTAAATGTAGCAAGTTTAGTACAATATTAAGTTCCAAATCCCTTGTTCCCATTCTAAATTCCAAATCCCAGTCAAAACCATAACAGAACTAGAAGGAACAAGGAATGTGGAAACAGGTTTATCCTTGTATCTTGAGAGGGCAAAAAGGGAAGGAAATCGATTTTTCAAAGTAGAGTCCCCCACCCAAACATGTTCCCAAAATTTAACCAAGTTACCAGAGCAGACAACGACATCGTACCTGACACAAAGTAGGAAAGAAGGTAGAGTCTTGTAAATGGCTCTTGTTTTTGTTTTAAAAAACAAAAACCAACCATGTTGTCAAACACCCCCTAAATTTGCAATTTGTTAGGATATTATGAAGTAAGGCATAGAATAATATTTAATCGGAAACAGAGTAACCAGAGGAGGAATATTTGCTTTTATATGATGGAATGGCTGGTGATACACCCCAACTCTGATGATTTGAGATCTTTGTTTGGTTCTGAGATCTGGTCTACTTTAGATATATGATTGATGCTGAAGCATGCTTTATTTTATGTTTTGTTGTTTTAGAAGATGAAACCTTTTCACATTTTATTGTAACATTATTTTTTTTTTCTTTTAATGAAATTTTACCTTACTATAAAAAATCCAAATGTTTAAGATGCATTAGGCAAGGGACCAGGAGGTCCATGACCTTAAGATGTGTGAAGCGTGATCCTTGAGGGTTTATATGTAAAACATAAGCCTCACAAGGTACCATTTTTTCTTTTTTTTTTAAGAAAAACATGAAACTGTAATGATAAGTACCAATATGCACAACTGGAGTATATTTTTGTATGGGAGTCTACAAATAAATAAATGTCACATAGAGGACATATAAGAATATGAATGACATGCTTTCATGTATGAACCTCAAGGTTGAGCTTGAATGTGGTCCTCAAAGTGTAATCCTCATATGGCTTTCAAAACATATTTTTCTTATATTGTTCTACTGGTATTTAGCCATACGACCCATACATTTGAGTTATTGTGATTGTTGTGCTTCATCCATTCCATGGCCATAACTCTGTTCCCATGGTTATTCTTTTGGTGAAGTCATTATTGATGGTTTCTCCTCATACTTCTAAAAAATTGCAGGTCTTCTCCAAAACGTATAGAGGGGCCTGATGGGAGAAATTTGCAGCTTCACTTCCGGTCTAGGCTGTCCCTTCCCCTTTTTACTGGAGGGAAAGTTGAAGGAGAGCAGGGTGCTGCAGTCCATGTTGTCTTACTTGATGCAAACACAGGTCATGTTGTCACAACAGGGTCAGAGTCCTCAGTAAAACTTGATGTTGTTGTGCTTGAAGGTGACTTCAATAATGAAGATGATGATGACTGGACTCAGGAAGACTTTGAAAGTCATGTGGTAAAAGAGCGTGAAGGAAAGAGACCCCTTCTTACTGGGGATCTGCAAGTAACACTAAAGGAAGGTGTAGGAACCCTAGGAGAACTTACATTTACTGACAACTCAAGTTGGATAAGGAGCAGAAAGTTCAGGCTTGGACTAAAGGTTGCCTCAGGCTTCTGTGAGGGTATCCGTATTCGTGAGGCAAAAACAGATGCTTTTACTGTCAAGGATCACCGAGGAGAATGTATGTTCAATTCTCATTGTTGATATATGATTTCCATAGTATATGGGGTATTGATAATCTGTAATTTCTTTTCTTTGCAGTATACAAGAAGCACTATCCTCCTGCATTAAATGATGATGTTTGGAGGTTAGAGAAGATTGGCAAGGATGGATCATTCCATAAGAGGCTGAATAAGTCTGGAATATACACGGTGGAAGATTTTCTTCGGTTTGTGGTTAGAGACCAACAAGGACTGAGAAATGTGAGGACCTAGAATCCTATTGTTGAATTAGGAAATCCATGTTTTGCATGTATTCCTCTGATTTTTCTATCTGGTGGTTGTAGATCCTTGGAAGTGGCATGTCCAATAAGATGTGGGAGGTTCTTGTAGAGCATGCTAAGACCTGCGTTCTGAGTGGGAAGCTTTATGTTTACTATTCCGATGATACAAAGAATGTTGGTGTTGTTTTTAACAACATCTATGAGTTGAGTGGGCTTATTGCTGGTGGACAATATTACTCGGCTGACTCTCTTTCTGATAGTCAGAAGGCCAGTATCATATACTCTTTTACATGACATATCTTTATTTATTTATATTTGTATCTTCAACAATAAACTGTTAATTTGACCTCTTTAACCTAAGTCAAGGCTGCTGGACTGATACTACTTGGCAAGCTTCTCTGAACTATCCAACTTGAGTAAAGAATACTTATTTTGCTGATTTGTCCACATGGTAGTTTCAACAGAGAAACCCCATCCAATTTCAACTACAACTCTGTACTTCAGTCACGATTCTTTAAATCTGTAGATTTCTACTATGTTTTTTCCTAATTTCTCAAGCTGTTGCTACTTTTGTGATCATGCTTAGGTTGTCACATCCAAATCATAATGAGTATATGTAGTCCCTACTTTTGACCATAAACCCTGTTAAAATGTATATGCGTATGATCTCAACCAGGATTTATGTCTACCCAAAAAAGAAAAAAATACAGGATTTGCATCTATATAAATGCTTATATCCACCTAATTTGAGTAAAGAACACTTCTGTTCCTAATTTTTCCAGACTACAGTACATCAATCCCATACAATTTGAATTAGATTCTGATATCTGTCTTATTCCTTAAGCATAAACCTAACCTTGCTGCCTTACTGTTTCTTCAAATTCCCAAATCTATTGCTACCATTCTCTAGTTTCTATCCCTTATTCAATACTCTCTTAGCATAAAGGAGGCTTCAGCCCAATTTTCTGGGACTGGAGTTTTTGGTGAGACTATATTATTGAGATGAGCAAAGAAGCACGAGGTTATCTCATTTGGTAGGTTCAATGGGAACTAGGTGGGCTGAGAGTCTTATAGGAATGCCTGACTTGTGAGATAAATTGCAGCTTTGTGATAGCTTATTGGAGCTAATAGTTCATCCCTATTCACCCCTTGGCCTATGTGTCAGCCAAGCTATTTGCAGACCTAGGAACCCAACAAACAATTTATCATAATCTCTTGCCATTTGTCTTATTTTTAGCATCATGTGTTGGTACTGCCATTCTTTCATGTTCTGCAGCCATATCACCACTGCCTTGGAGTCACCTTCTACCACTACTGCTGGTAGGTTAAGCAATTGAACCAGCCTGAGACCTTGTCATAAAGTCAAAAATTCTACCCATGTTTAGTCACCAAGTCTCAAAGTATACACCCAATATGCATGAATAGGTTAGTCGTGCTTTTTGGGTGACTGATACACTAACTCTTTTTTTTTATTTTCTTTCTGTTTCAGATTTTTACAGGGGGGGGGGGATAATTAGAAGTGTATTTAACGTCTGAAAACATAGAAACATCAAATTCCCTAAAACTAAGTGTTCCTGTGGCTCAATGATACGATATAATATGCCCATATTGTAGCGAAATTTTGAGCCTTGTTAGTCACCAACTCCTAGTGGGCCTGAGTAGACTACTAGTATAGTACCTTGTTGATCTCTCTTTACCCCACAAATGCCTAGCGATCTTGGATTTCCCAAGCTGCATCCATCAAAATGCAGCTTAACTTAATTGGGATTGGGAGGATTCCATTAATCAATAATTACATCTCTCATTGTGGATGAGTACACAATCCAACTCCATGATCTAGTTATGTTATCCATAGAGAAATCATCCAACATATTCAATGTCTTCACCTATTGCACTACGCCACTACCTTGATTGTGATACTTTATGTATGTGCTTCTTTGCCATGCTCCTTTCTGTGAAATTTTGGCATTCCTCTCTTTCCAAAGTTTCCATATAACTGCTGCCCTGGTGCACCTCCACATTAGTTTTCCTTTTTTCCTTGGAGATGTAACAAAGTTCATGTTGATCAAGCATGTGTGAGAGTCCACCTACAGACAAAAAGTGAGAAGAACCATTCCCCACCACCAGTAGTAAAAGAATAGGAGATTAGTAAGTGGTGAGAAGTTTCTCCACTTGCATAACATAAAAAGAACATATGCTGACTTGTGGAATTGGGGATAAGCACCAAGTTGGTATTCTCTCTTGAAGCACATTGCAAGTGTTAATTTTTCCATGATGCATCTCCCAACACAATGCCTGGTCTTAGGTGGCACTGAATTGCACCAAATTTATTTTACTGGAAAAGACTAGAACATCATCAGGGACTGATAGAGCTTGAACGAAGGATGAACAGGAAAAATACCCCAAATAATTGATTGTCCAAATTCTTTGGTCCAAAACAGAAGGGTCCAAGAAAGCACCCATTGGAACAGTCAACAAATTAAGAACATGGGTTGTTTCAAGTCCCTAATACCCCTATTGAATCCAAAATCCCAAGCAAGGCCATTAGAGGAAGAGATTGCAACTTAGAAATAGGTTCAGTGTTTTAAAAGTGCAAGGCACAAAAAAGGCATAGGGGTCAATTTGCGCCTGAGGCATAAGGTGAGGCGTGCGCCTTTTTAAGCAAGGCGCAAAAAAAAAAAAAAATCAAGCATATAAAACCCACAATCTCTTGTTTTTCTTAATTACATTACTTAAAGTAGCTAATGTGACATATTACATTCTTGATTCTATGAACCGCCTTTGTGCCATGCCCCTCGAGGCAAGCCCAAACAAGTCCATGTTAGGGTCTTAAATTCTTAGTTTTCACACAAAAAATAATGATTTTGTAGTTTTAATTTCTTTTTAAAAAGATATTTTATTAGGACGAATGAATGAACAACATTACCAAAAAAAGCATCAAATTTTCAGAAGGCGCGCGCCTGGGTTGAGGCGCAAGGTGCACCAGGCATGCGCCTTTTGAAAGGGCTGCGCCTAGGGCCTGAGTGAGGCGCCTACCCTAAAATGCGCCTAAGGCGCACCTTTTAAATCACTGAATAGGTTTGGCCTTAAATGAAGAAAAAGCAAAAATTTTTGGAAAACACTTTTTGAGGAGAATCCCGTAAGCAGAGATCCTCCCAAAATTTAACCTTGTCCATAGCACAAATATCATATTGGATGACATGATAGAATATACTAAGATAGGTGAGAGAGTGAAGATATCTTTCGAAGGGGGAGGCTAAAGCAATTCTATTAGCTAGGCCTGCATTAACACTCCATGAATGCTTGTCACCACTTTATGCCACAACTTGTTAACCTGAAGAAGAAACCTCCACAACTATTTCCCTAGTAGGGTTAATTTCCTTACCTTAAGTCTTCTTATCCTAGTTCCCCTTGACTCCTACCCTTTTAGATCACCTCCCATTTCATTAAATGGTCCCTCATAGGTTCCTCTGGGTCCCACATGAAATCACAAATGATTTTCTCCAATATTTTGACCACCAACATCAGCATCCTAAAACCAGAGAAGTATATGAAGGTGGGTTAGAGTGGAATTAATCAAGGTTATTTTACCACCCAAGGAGATATAACTTATTTAGGCTGACAATTTCGTAGAGATTCTATCACAAGGTTACCACCTAGAGGCAACCCTAGGGTTTGATGGGCTTGAAAGATATGGATATTCTGAGTATGGCTCCATACCTTTATACCACTTCTTCCTCTACAGTGTTTCTGGCTAAGCAACTCTTGTCTAGGTTTGTTCTCAGGTTTGAGTTCTTCTCATAGATCTGAACCAACAAACTCAAGTTCCTAATTCCCTTCCCTTATCCTTTATCTCCACAAAATAGGATGATATTATCAGCAAACCGCAAATGCCTCACCACTATCCTCTCCCTTCCAATCCTCCATCACCTAATCAAATGAAACCTATCTGCCCTCGATATTAGTCTACTGAAAACATCTGCAATGATTGTAAAGAGGAAAGGAGAGAGAAGGTCCCTTGCCTTAGTCCCTTTTAGTTGGAAAGAAGTCCTTTACTACACTATTAATCATAATAGAATAATTACAAGTTTGTTATAGCCTAGAATCCATTTTCTCCACCGACATCCAAGCCCACATTTTAGCATCACCTCCAGAAAAGAGTCAAAAGACCAACAATCCACAAGATGGGCCTAGGAATGGAATTTCTGAGCTTGGAATGCATGTTATATTTCAATCTAATTTATGGTGTGCAGTTGCACCATGATTGCATGTTCAAGTACATAGCAGAAATAGAGTGAACATTTGCTTTCCATTTAACAACAAAGAGCATAAAAGGAAACCTTTGTGAAGCTGGAAATTCATTGTCTTTGCAGGTGTATGTTGATACCTTGGTGAAGAAGGCATATGACAACTGGGGGCATGTAATAGAGTATGATGGGAAAGCACTTTTGAGCTACAAGCAGAACAAGAGGCCTAGTTCTTCTAGATCTGAGCTTCCAATGGGTCCAGAATATTCTAATTCATTTGATCAGCAGATCTCCGTACCTCGCCTGCCTGTTCCTTCAGAGCAGCCTTCGATGGATTCAGGCCTGAATGTTGGGGGTAAGCTATTTTTGGACTATGAATTATTAATGCTGTGCAGAATATACTTTAGTGAACTTTATAATAAGTGGCAAATTATGATATCATAAATTCATAATCACAGTGCTAATATCATTTTCCATTCTTGAAAATTGATAAACAAACTCCATTTCACTGTTCTGAAATAACCAGAAATTACCTGTTCTCCTGATGAAAATGAACACATTCTGGTTTTAGTAAGATTGATGTACGTTTCTAGTATGATTAAGTCCATAAAGTTCATTACCCAACAATGCTGGTCTCAACCATCTGGGGTCTTTGTAGTAGACGGGGTACATATCTAAGCTTCAGCATTTTTAGCACAAAATTGCTACCTAGAGACTTATCCGTTGTTCTCATGCTTGTCATCCTCTTATAAAATTATGTCAGTATTCTCTTTATGCTGGATTAGTTATTTATTTTTGAAATTCCATATAGTACTCTCTTGTTGCCCCTCTACCTTTTCCTCTCCACAGCCACTCCAGTCACCTGTTGGAACTGTGTAAGAGGTTTTTTATGGAATTTTACATCATTCTGACTAGTATTTGCTCTTCAGTTTCAGGATATAATGATAATCTGGCAACTAGATATCCAGCACAGTCACAAGTAAATTCCAATTCCCATGTGCAATTTGATGGCAATTCATTTGCCCCACAGAACCAGATGATTAGCACTTCACACCAAACACAATTCCCAAGAAATGAAAACATTGTAGGGTTGGCCCTGGGGCCACCACAATCATCAACACCAGGATTCCAGAATGTGGGTCCATCCATCCAAGCATCAAATGTATCTTCTTATGATGATTGGTCCCATAGCCGAGAAAATGGGGGAGTTGATGGATTCTTCTCAGAGGAAGAGATCCGCATGAGAAGTCATGAAATGCTTGAGAATGAAGACATGCAACATCTACTTCGTATCTTCAGCATGGGTGGCCAAACTGCCATTAATATATCAGAGGAAGGATACTCTTATCCGTCATACATACCATCCCCAACGCCGAACTTGGGTTTTGATGAGGATCGCTCACGTTCATCAGGCAAAGCTGTTGTAGGATGGCTCAAGCTCAAGGCAGCGTTAAGGTGGGGCATCTTTATCAGGAAGCAAGCGGCTGAGAGGCGGGCACAGCTTGTTGAGTTGGATGACTAGTTGATATGCTATGGGGCTTGTTGTCAAACCACATATTCTGCCTCAAAAGTTGGACTCACTATTTAACCATCTTTGACTCAATGTTGGTAGGGGGGATGGGTCTTTTATGCAGTTGCTGGGGTTCTGATTGATTGGGTATTATCAGACAGCTGGGAATCTCTGCTTGTACAGTTCTTGCCTGTACAGTAAGTCTGTTTCTTCTTTAAGATCCTTACTAATATTGTGTTTAATTGATTAGGATGCTTTTTTTTTCTTTTCTTTTCTGAAAGATGCTTATCCATCTACTATCTTTCTCCACAACTTGCTTTTCTATCGATGTGGGGGTTGGTTGGAGTTCCGGTCTTGGTCTATCCTATTGAGGATCCTTAATGATGCAGTGTTGGTGACTGGCTTCAGGGGACAACTTTTGACTGAAAGTTGTGTCGACTTGGGTGTGCTTTGTATGATGAAACATTGACTGAAGACCAGAGCTGGTCTATTAAAGTTATGCTAAATAGATATATATATGCTTATGTAATCTATGTGGATTCCAAAACAAGCATGCAGACAATACACACAATAAACTTTTTTGTTGCCTGGTAAATCTTTTAAGGTGATGTTACCTTCTGTTGGTGTGTAAGCAGAACACATCACCATGGAATGATTCCAAGGACTCCTAGCAGGCTTCCAAGGTGCTTGTTTTGGAGGTGGGGAACGCCGGAAATGCAGTTATCTTTGTATCTTAGTTAATTAGATGCTGCTGTCATTGTGGCAGGGTGGCTTCTTGAATCTTAGCAGGTTCCAGTCAGGTCATGCTTATTGCAATGTAACAGTGTCACATTTTGCAATCTATATGCCAAGATATTCTCTATAGATGAAATGTCCTTGTCTTGTCGGCAGGCTGGATAAAATCCACTCAGATGAGATGCCAGTTGGAAAATATGTTAAGAATTCAACTCTGGTTGAAATGCTTGATGGTGTCGAGGTTCATCTATGGTCTAACCCATCAACTATGCTGTTATTCTAATCTATTTCCTTCCGAAATACAGTGACAAGTGATGAATCAATTATTTATTCGATAATCTTATATGGTCACTCCTACAAGGCACAAGGCACAAGCCCTGTTGTAAGTATGGCTTGGTATTGCTTCTATGCGATTGCAGGATCCCAATCAAAGGGGTGATCATCAATCATCTTTCTGCAAAAGACCTGACGTGGCACATCTGCCATTGCATCATAAGCTAGTACCTTGCACTGCTTGGTGAATGCCCGAGTAAGGGGAGGGGGATCAACCATTGCAATTGAGAAATTGAGATGGGAGTGTAACTACATCTTTTCCAGTTCGAAGGACGGTGTAGGAAGTAGAGAACTTGGCTAGTTTTGGAAATCTCTGACTTGCTTATTTGAGCAAGGGATAGATGCTTCATTAGAATGATAATAGTCTTGTGCGGTTCTAAGCAATTACAAGATGGAACTTCCTTATTGATGGTTAAGGTACTCGGTCACACGAGTGTGTTGGGCTTGCAGGGGTCGGTAACTATACTATCAACATAACCGTGTGCTCAAATCACAATTGGAGATGGGTTATCAGTCATAACCAAGTTTAAAGGTGTGCATTTTAGAATAGCAGTTTTAAGATGTATATTAGGAATTTGGGATCATATCCTTACTCAGGATGTACGCGGAACATAAAAGTGGTAGCCAACTAGGATAGGACTTGGGAGAGTGATTCTTTCCTCTCATCGTTCTCGTTTATTTTTCTATGGTCGGTTGGTCACACGGTAGGTGTGGCATCTTCAAACCGAGTTCCAATCTCTGCCCCACAACACATCCCCGCCTTGTATTGGGAGATGTTCCCAATACATGGCGGGGATGTGCTGTGGGGCGGAGATGTGATCTTCAAACCTAGGACCCTCACTGCATAAGCTCATCCTCTTAAAGACAAATCAGTAGGACGGTCTTGTTTCTCCAAGGCCAACAAGGATGTTATTTGGTGCTTTGGTGCTCTAGTTGAAATCGATGCCTTGGGGTTTTATTCTGTGAATTTGATTGGTTGCCAAAGGGGGTGCAGCTACTATTAGATGCATTCTCCTTGCTATGGGCCTGTTTTGCGCATCATTTTGGGAAGATCTTCTGGTAGTATTGACAGTCAAAAGACGCATTGAGCTTTTGCATGAAGATCTAAGTAGTTTGAAGCTAGTTTGGTAGTATCATGTCTTTCTGTGCATTTTTCCGTGTCTTTCTTCGCAAGAATAAAACATGAAAGATATGAAAAGTTTCACTTGGGCCTTTCTGAAATCAGCCCAAAATGGGCTTCTCGCGTCTTTTCGGCGCTCTAGCTTTTAGCAGATAGATCTTTTGCGAACCAAACAGGAATAGACCGAAATTTGGTCTGTCCAACTTGTAAACAGCCGAAAGGCCTTGCGAAAAGATGCACCAAACGAGCCATTTCAAGGAACTGGCTCTTCTGTCTATTTTAAATCCAAAATGTTTGTCTTAATGGGAGTTTGATGAAACTATCTACACTAGACAATGCCCACATTGATTTTTTTTTTTGAAAAGAATAGAAATGTACTACACAACTGGGGGGAGGGGGGTAGTATGTCCCCAAAAGTCAACGGAACAAATAAGAGAAGGGGAAGAGATGAGGTGCTAGAACAAAGAGCCTCATGAGCAAGCCAGTCAACCGTCTGATTTGCTTCTCTGAAAATATGTTAATATTGACAACCTCCTTCTATCAGATCTCTCATCTGCAAGTAATTTGAGATAATACCTTTCAACTTTCAAGGAATACCCACCTTTCTTTTGAGGTAGAAGATGACAAGAGACGAATCACCCTCAATGATGATAGGAAACTCCCTATAGTTTGTGGCTTGGACGTGGGCTTCCCATGTGACTCATGCTTTAGCTTGATTGATAGAGTATGTACCAAGTTTAGAAGTTTTGACTACAAGTACCTTAGCAAGATGGTCCTAGACTATACTGACCATTGAACATTTTCCATCACTATTGCGAGAGGCATTGAAATTTATTTTAATATAGTCACATTTTGGAGCATTCCAACTAATTTGTTTCCAAATCTTGCGAGATGTGATAGAGGTACTAAATTTACTCCCATAAAAAATTTCCATAAACATATTGAGAGCTCTATCTAAAATTATTGGAATGGGAGTAGTAACCTCATTAAAGGTTTTGGAGTTCCTATTTTTCCAAACAACCCAAAGAACAAAAGCTAGTTTTTCCTTTGCTAATAGAGTTATGTTTTCTTTTTTAATGCACATTTTGTCCACCAATCACTTAGGTTTACATTTTCATTTGGGCCCTCCAAGGGTGTGTTTAACGTAAGTCACACTTGCTTTATGTGATCACAACTTTTAAAATTATGTTCAATATCTTCTTCAAGCCCACAAAAATTTCAAGAACCATCAATATTAAATCATCTTTTTCTCAAATGGCTTTTAGTAGGCAATCTATTATTAAACATAAAAAATAAAAATAATTTAATCTTTGGAGGGCATTTCAAGTTTCAAATGTTATTAAACCAATTAAAGTTGCCCATTGGGTTTGAAGTAGATGAACATTTAAGCAAATAAGTTGTTTTTATCGAGAAGGTCTCCTTAGGATTACACCCCCAAACCATTTTGTCCTCCATGTAGTTAGGGGCAATATGAATACTCTTAGGCTGTGTTTGGTTTAAAGGAAAAAATAGGGAAAGGTAGGGAAACCTATACAAGGTTTGTAAAGATTTCCTTATCTTTCCCTTCCTTTCCCTACCTTTTCCTTCAAACCAAACATAGCCTTAATGTCTTGCCAAACATTTTCAAAGACCTCAGCTTTAATTTTGGCCTCCTTCCAACAATCCCTCTCAAAATCTATCATTTCTACTACTTTAATATTAATATTTAATATATATTCATGGTTCAAAGTTTCAGTTAGAGGTTTGCCATATACCCAATTATCTAGCCAGAAATTAATAGTACTTCCATCACCCACTTGCCAATGGCATCATATTTTAATGAGCTCTCTAGCAAGGAGGACGCCTCTCCAGGCTCAAGAGATTCCCTAATAAATTTTGGTGTTCAAAAAATTTTCCCTTCTCAAATATTTACTCATAATAACTTTCACCCATAAATTCTTTTCCCCATTCAGTATCCTCCACCTTAACTTAACCAAACTGACCTCATTGACCCAATGGAGTCTTCTTATTTCTGTACCTCCCCACTTTTTGGGAGTGCAGGTTGGTTTTTTCCTAATTCATCAAGTGGAGAGCATTCTTACTATTAGTATTGTCCCAAAGAAAACCGCTTTGAATTTTATTTAATTTATCTATCACATTTTTAGGGATTTTAAAGAAACTTATTATATATTAAGGCACCATGTTTGTTGTTGAACTGATGAGGGTAAATGTATTCTTTGTAACTCTTCCTGTGATAATTGGGGGCCCCTAAATAAAAATTAGATTTAACCTATAAAGGATTCTGAGAATTAGATGTAACTCTTCCTTCTTATGTCTGTAAGCTAAGCTATAAAAATTGCTCTATAGTTCAAACAGATCTATAGACGAGATCTCACATGGTCACACCCAGTTAGTCTCTCTCTCTCTCCTTTTTTTGGGTTTTGTTATTTTTTGTCTCTTGGATAAGCTCAATAGTCTTTTTCTTTTTATATGTTTTGTGTAAACGGTAAACCCAATAGTCAGAATCACCAAACATTTAACACATGGTGGTATAGAATATGGATAGCATCTCGAAGCTCATATAACGAGGGTGCCCTCATTATGGACACTGTGGAATTAGAATTCTGCTACCCATCTTCCTCGCTAGACGTCAGTCCCATAAATTACAATGTCCCAAGGCCAGAAGGCCTGCATCTGATCTGATAATATAGCTTGACTTTTTCCAAAAATCCACAGTAGACTAAAGCGGCGCCGAAAGTGAACAAGCCTGGCTGTTGAATTGAAGAGCCGTGAAGGACTCAAATTAATCCCACTTAAAAAAAAAAGTAATCGGATTTCGGTCAGTCATTTTTGTTCATTTATGGTAATATCTATCTCTAGTCTCTACCTCTTTTGGAGTGGAGAGGATTCTTTGCTTGCCAATTTGACATTAGGTTCCTTTCTTTAAGTCTATAATCACCTATAAATAGAAAAGAAGAGGTGAGAGTAGGAAAATGGGATCTTGGGTTTTTGCCCAACAAAGCAAGCCCCAGGTCCTCTCAAGGAGCTCCCTCCTCAAGTCCAAGCTACAACTGGTACGGTTCTGGGTTCTGTCTTCTTTTTTCTTTTGATTCATTATTTTATTTTATTGGTTGATTGTTAAACAGTACTTTCTTTCTTTTTCCATTTCCAACCCAAGAAATGCTACAAGCCTACAACTTCATGGGATGATCCTTATTCTTGATGTGTTTACTTTGTAAAAATTTTATTTGGGTCTTGGCTTATTCAACCAAACTGATATTTGGACGAGATTATATTGCTTGTTTATGCAAACAAAGAGGGAGGGAGAGAGAGAGAACAATGTATATATACCATATAATGCCAATACTTTGCTTTGACAGAAACAAAATAGTGTAGTATCATGATTTCTTCTTTCAGTCTCAGTGTACTCTCTTCCTGCTGAATAATATGTGATAGAAATGAGGGAGCGATGGATCAGAGAAAAAGCTTAGCAACAACATACAAGGGCAACTTCGTTAGCACTCAGTCAACAACAGATACCAAGTATGAGGAAATTAAAGCACTGCAGCAAATTTCTGCAATCAACAACTAGGATATTATGCTCCACCTCCACGGACCACGCACGGTGTATTGCATCGCTTTCCATCTGCATAGTAGACGTCTAAGTCTTAACCAATTCCAAAGCAAACTTGATACC